GTTCGAAATATGTCAGATTCTGGATAACATTAATTTGTGCCGCTGTTGAGTGTTAGTCTCGAGATTAGCTATACTGATGTTAGGTGCACTGACCATATCCGTGTCCGTGATGCTTGACAGCAATGCAGAGAACCTTAAAGCAGTGCATCCTGATAGGAATTGATTTGGCACGCTGCTCACTCTCTAGAACCATGTAGACTGGTCGCGTGAGGAGGCCAACGAATGTATCTCTCTCGCTGGTCGTCAAGAAGATCGAGGTCAGCTTGAGTTTCAATACTTTGCACATGATGTCTAGCGCGGACTGCAATTGTGCCGTAGAGTCCCATGTATCGTCTTTGGTCCCTTTCTTGGCCTTGCCTCTTCCTCTGGCTGCAGGCGCTGTGGAAGACTTCTCAGCAGCCTTGGCCTCTACAGCCGCGATAGTCCATTGGAGAAGAAAGCCGAAGATTTCAAGCAGCTTTTTGTGATGCGGTAGAGTGCCTTCATCGTCGGGGGACTCCATGTCGCTGTTGGCCGCATCGACTTCGGCACTCATGCCGCTCATGATCAGGTCGAACACCTTGCTGAGGGCGTGTGTGGGAAGAAAAGCAGCAAACCTGAACAGCCTCAGTTAATCGACCAAACGTTCTAACATTCCGAATCTTCGATTGAAGAGGAACAAGGAGCCCTTCCTAGGGGTATTCGAATATCTTACTTGAGCAAAAACTGTAGCGAATCCATGTTAGATGCGCGCATTATCGCATCCGGATCTTCGGCCACTGCGTCTACAATTGGGTTCAACACAGGGTTGATGACTTGATTTGTGAGGGACTCAGGCTCATTCTCGCAGTCAAGAAGGGCGCTATCGGCTTCTGAAGCCGGTATGGAAGCAGGATCGGACATGTAGTCCCTGAGCGCATCGTTGATATCGAAATTAATTGTCGCCATGGTGGGCTGAAATGCGCCCGCACGGCGGAGGCGGTATCGCGGTGGGCAGCAGCAGAGCGTCGATGTCGCTGTAAAAGGACAGAAGGGAGGCGGGAGAAGTAGCCACGGTGATTATCGCAATTATTGATGGTGATTCATGTGCGACGCACGCGAAAGAATGTCGTAGCTGCAAAATGACGGTGATGGTGATGGTTGGAGGTGGCCTGGGCCTTGAGGTGCGGTGCGGTGCCCAAATGAACGTCCCTCAGCAACGTCTGTTTTTGTTTTGTTTACGCGTGCCACTTCCCCGCCATTGCACCTACAATAACCAAACACGCCCAAAACTGCACCAAAAACCGCGTCTCCTAGCCCCGACCACCACTAAGCCAAACCAATAGTGATTTGTCATTGCACCGTTAGACTTTTTAGGGCTCTTTAATGTTAATGGCCGACTTGGATGGATGAATTCATTCCACATCGCGAAGTCTGCATGAATACTGGCTGTTAACCCCGATCGATTGGCGGCTCGAGACCTCTGCCTTGCAATTAGGTCATCCTGCAAGATCCTTCTCGTCCCGCCACACAAAGCCACCTCCACCGACGTGTTGATTGGCTGACATCGGACTCGACCGTCGGTTCGTCGCATTAAACATTGGGCAGAACTCTCGCCAACGAACGACAAGATTCCATAAAAGCAAGAGGGCATTGGTTGGCAGTACGCTACCCTCCTGCAGGCTGGAACTTTGGCAAACCATACCCTTGGCTGCTCGGAGGGGGGCAATATGGCTACCACTGTGGTTCGACGGAGAGCCGAGGAGCCCTTTGATATCCACGAAGATGTCAGGACAGAAGAGACCGAGATGATCGAGGACGACAAAGAAGATGGCGGTGCGGATGTCGCAGATACGGATGTTGTCGTTATTGACGATGACGACGAGGACGAGGGCGAAGGCGAAGGCGACGAAGAGTACGACAGCTCTGACGACGAGCAAGTTGATCGAAGTGTTCAATCAGACATGAAGAAGCTTGAGAGTGACTTTCCAGGCTTCTGGTATCGCTACCGTCTGATTAAGCGGATAGGAGAAGGTATGTGCACATGCTGCATCTCGAGATTGGGTTGTACCCGGGGAGTGACTACTGGCTAACCGCCGCGCTTAGGAACGTTTTCCACCGTTTACAAGGCCGAGGATAAACTTTATGACCAGTATGTCAACGAGTGGGACGTGCAAAACGAGATGTCCAAGTGGACTCCCCCTCCTTTGGAAAGAGACTCGCCTAGCCAGCACTCTCCGCGGAAACGAACGCGTTACGTCGCCATCAAGAAGATTTATGTCACCTCATCGCCCATGCGAATCCTCAACGAACTAGAGCTGCTGCATGATCTCCGGAGATGCCCTTCAGTTTGCCCGCTTATCACAGCCTTCCGTCAGACTGACCAGGTTATCGCCATTCTTCCATACTTTCGTCACGGGGACTTCCGGACCTACTTCCGGGATATGACAATCCCTGATATTAGAATATATTTACGGTCATTATTTACCGCGCTACGGGGTACGCATGAGCATAGAATTCTTCATCGCGACATCAAGCCGACCAACTTTCTCTACGACCCGGCTACGCAGCATGGCGTCCTTGTTGATTTTGGCCTCGCCGAGCGAGAGGGCTCCGAAAGCAAACCGTGTCTGTGCCACGAGCAGCGCGAGCTCCGTAAGACGAGGCAGGCGAATTCCGTCTGGGCCCAGAGTGTGTCCTCCTACACTCCGTCTGGATACCCCAAGAACGACACAAGGCCCTCGAAGCGCGCCAACCGCGCTGGCACCCGAGGATTTCGAGCCCCTGAGGTGCTGTTCAAGTGCACTGAGCAGACGACGGCCATTGATATCTGGTCAGCTGGTGTCATTCTGCTCACCATTCTCTCCAAGCGATTCCCGTTCTTCAATTCTGCGGATGACGTGGAGGCAATGATTGAGATTGCTACTATCTATGGCGCAAGACGTATGAAGGTTGCGGGTCTCCTTCACGGCTGTGTCTTTGATACGACCATCCCCACTGTCGGGCAACAGGGCTTCACCCTTGAGAAGATTATTCTATGGAGCACTTGCCGGGGCGAGGATAAACCTCTTACTGCGGATGAGAAGCTTGCAGTCAAATTCATGGAACGGTGCATGGACTTGGATCCCTCACGAAGGATTACGGCCGAGGAGGCTTTGGAACACGAGTTCCTGAGGATAGATAGCTCCCAGGACCTGGGAGTTGGGGATGATGATATCATGGACATGCTCGATGTATAGATAGACGGACCAGATCCTGTGCGGCCACGATGGAATCCTTAGATTTTGCTGGCTGAATCTCTTTGTATATAACACAGGCGAAAGCGCACGGGTGCATCACACAGCTGGCGTTAATCATGGTGGCTTTTGTCAGATAGCATATGCCTTTTTTTGCATGATCAAGTTCCAAGACTTGACGAAGTGCGAGAATCAAACATGTCACTGGACGTGGGCAATTTAAGCGAGCGATGAACAACCGAATCATGGACCGAAAATGATTTTTATTCGTCAAACTCCATTGAGAGTCCCTGATGCAATGCTCGAAGCCGACCATCCCAAGTGCCCTTTTTTATCCCCAGTATCATATCATCACCAACTTTATGTCAGTGGAAGAGGGGGGGCGAACCATGAACCAGATTGTGAACTTGTTGTGTTGTTAATTTTTTTTTATTCCTCAATAAGGTCATGGACGATAAAAGTCGCATCCCACATACACAACCGAACTCCTTCACAAGCGGTATATCCTTATCATGCTTTTTCGTCTAAGCAACCAGCTCAACGACACCACCGGCCTGCTGGATCTTCTTCTCTGCCAGCTTGCTCACCCATCGTGCGCGGACAACCAGGGGAATTTCGGGGAGACGGCCCTTGCCGAGGACCTTGGAGTAGCCGTGGGAGAGGAGGTCGAGGACGGGGGCGGTGTCCTTCTTGGCACCGGAGACGTAAGCCTCACGGGTCTCGGCGGGGACGAGAGTCCAGAGCTAATGGTCATGTTAGTGGGAAATCCCATTGTGCAAGTCAGATCGATTTGCCTTGAGCCGGACCCAAGTTTGGCAGCTGGTGCTTCCTGGATCCGGCGGTCGAGCTCATCAATCAAGGAGAGGAAATATGTACCTTGTCCAGGTTGACGACAGGCTTCCAGAAGGTGTTGTTCTGCTTGTGGAAGTATCGCATACCAACCTTACCGAAGTAACCGGGATGGTACTATTTTCAAGCCAAGTTAGCCCTCAAAAGTTCAGTCGTATTCCGACTTGCTCGCCTCGCGTTGTCTCGAATTGCGTCTCGTCGTGGGGGTGGTGTATTTCGAACCTTGTCCATGTTGGTACGGTGGTGGTGTTGACCACCGGCCAGACCACGACCACCGGGATGCTTCCTGTGCTTGCCAACACGTCCCTTTCCGGCGGAGACGTGACCGCGGCTGTGAAAAACCTCCTTGTCAGCCAACAAAATTCTCCAGCCAATTGGTTCCAAAACGACAATCATTTGCACGAAGCTGCCCGGCTGGCGAACCAGCCTGGACATTCAATCGTGCCGAATTCTGTCTTCGGAGCATTCTCAGGGACAAAACGTACTGCTTGCGGGTCTTGGAGGTTCGGGTAGGCATGGCGACGGCTGGTTGGGTGTTGTCGCTTTCCGGTGTGATGCTTCGTCAAAGGGACTGGAAGTGGGTGGTGATGTTTTTTGCGCTGCCCTAGTATGGATCAAGTCCGGGAAATTGTTAGCGAGAGGGTTACCCTGCCCTAAGCAAAATCCAAGTAATTGATTTGGCTGTGTGGTTGGAGTGGAGACCATTGTGCTGTGCGCTTCTAGGTCAGCTGACCCGAGGCGGTACGTACCTCAGCATCTACCTCTCAGCGCTCCACTCGAATAATCCCGTCTCCAAGAATGGCTTATCGCTTATCTAACGCGTGAGGATCAATGCGTGCTGGTCAGCCAATCATGAACGGATGAAATCGAACAAAGCTTTTGATATAATCTTAGGAACTCCTTGGATTGACTTCTTTTGCAATCCGTTGGGATGGATGGGGATTTCCAACCTTAATCATGGACACCAGCGAGGATATCCAAGATGTCTCTCATCGGATGGAGAAGCTGGACTTCAATCATCCATTTACCCCTTACGATGTCCAGGAGCAGTTCATGAAAGCAGTGTACAACGTCCTAGAAACGGGAGATGGCCAAATCGGCATTCTTGAAAGCCCCACGGGAACGGTGAGTAGATGGCGCTGATATCTACAAGTCCAGGCGTCGCTCATGGTGGAATCTTTATTCCTGGCTTCTAGGGGAAATCATTGTCCTTGATCTGCGCGTCTCTGACATGGCTGCGGCATCATAAGTCACACAGCCATGAAGTTGAGCTGAAAAGCGCGGTCGAGGCCCACAAGGATGAGCCAGAGTGGATTGTGGAACAACTTCTGCGTCAGAAACGAGACGAACTTGCAAAGAGATGGCAAGAGCGTGAAGAACGCCTCGAGGCTGCAAGGCGCAAAGAAAAGGCCCAAGAAGACCGAGCCCGGAAGCGGCGGCGAGTTGATGAGGTAAGATCACAGAAACGGGCCATTGATGAAGATGATGAGTTCCTGCTTGATGTCCAGGGTGATGATGCGGCGTCACACGGCTCCGGTGATGCCCAGTCTGGACTGAGCAAGGAGGCGCGAGAAGTTCTTGCCAGGTTTGGTCTCGGCATTCCCAAAAAGAACCATGGGAACGAAGAAATCGACCTCTTTGAAGAAGGAGTCAAGGTGCGGAGATATTCCTGCTCGCATCTCGTAGCAAATATTGAGACAATTGAGAATAGATCTATTACACTTCAAGAACGCATTCCCAGCTGTCCCAATTCATCACCGAGCTTCGCCGACCGCAGTTTCCCTCGTCACTCCCAGGGGCCATGCTCCAGACACAGGGCCAGCCGAGCAAAGAAGCCGTCAAATTGCTACCGCTCTCATCCCGCCAGAAGCTATGCATCAACCCATCAGTCTCTCGATTGGGGTCGGTACAGGCGATCAATGATCGCTGCGCAGATTTACAGCAAGCCAAATCGAGTACAAGGTGCCCGTTCGTTCCGAAGGAGGAGCTCTTGACGCAGACTCATGAATTTCGAGACGCTGCCCTTGCATCTCTGCCCGACATTGAAGACTTACACCAGCTGGGCAAATCGCTCTCGGTTTGCCCATACTATGCATCACGCACGGCGCTTTCCGGTGCGGAAATCGTTACGCTCCCGTATCCCCTGCTGTTGCAGCAGAGCGCCAGAGAAGCCCTTGGCATTAAGCTTGAAGGGAGTGTAGTCATTGTTGATGAGGCTCACAACATAATGGACGCTATCGCCGGTGTACACTCGGCGGAAATCCGACTGAGCGACCTAAAAAGAGCTAAAGGAATGCTCGGCGTTTATGTTAGAAAATTTGGAAAGAAGCTCAAAGGCGAAAACCGAGTCAACGTCGGGCGAGTGGGCAGAATAATTGAGGGTCTTTCGGAGTGGATGCAGGCGGCATTGAGCTTCAAGGTAAGTTGCTTGATTTCGAGCATGTAGTGTCTGTGACGTTTTACTGACTGCGATTACAGAATGAGGATGGGATTGTCGAATCGAACGATCTCCTCAGACGAAAGGGAATTGACCAAATCAACATGTTCGAGCTTATACGATACATATCAGATTCGAAGCTCGCATTCAAGATCGAAAGCTACGTCGCCCACGTGGAAAGCGAGAATGAGCCAGGAGCTGTGACAAAGACCGGCAGTACCCCAGTATTGCACACACTGGCCTCTTTTCTTGTTGCTTTGACCAATCTCAGCTCTGAGGGCCGGATATTCTACCAGAAGATGGCCGGACCATCACCAGATATCCAGCTCTCCTACCTTCTACTGTCGCCAACTCACGCCTTTTCATCCGTTGCGTCTTCGGCAAGAGCGGTGATTCTCGCAGGAGGCACCATGTCTCCCTTTGAAGACTACAAGGACCATTTATTTCCAACTCTTTCCACCTCAAAGATCACGACACTGAGCTGTGGGCACGTTATTCCGAAGGAGAACCTTTGCGTGTGGACGCTGGGCACAGTACGACCTGGGGCTCCTCAGTTTGAGTTCAGTTACCAGCGACGCAGAGATCCAGAAATGATCACGCAATTAGGTATGGCTGTTTTAAATGTCTGCTCCATTGTCCCTGATGGCGTAGTCGTCTTCTTTCCCAGTTATGGGTATCTTGATGAAGTCGTCGCGGCCTGGGAGCAAAACCAAAGTGCGAACTCTCAGTCGATATGGGCCCGCCTCCAGGGGCGAAAAGCGGTCTTCCGTGAGACCAAGGGTGGCTCGAGCGATCAGGTCTTGAATGACTATACGCAAGCCATCCAGGGCGAGCAGAGCAACGGGAAAGGAGCACTGCTACTAAGTGTTGTGGGAGGAAAGATGTCTGAAGGCATCAACTTTTCGGACAGGCTCGGACGCTGCGTCATGGTAGTCGGGCTCCCTTACCCAAACATAGCCTCGCCAGAGTGGAAGGCCAAACTTGAATACATCGAAACAACAGTCTTTACTCGGTTGACTAATTCGAATGGGGAGGATAATGGCCACGGACAATCAGCAGGCCAGCGTAATAAAGCTGTCAGCCAGGAGGAAGCAAGGGCGCAAGCGAAGCAGGCGAGTCGGGACTTTTACGAGAACGCATGCATGCGCGCCGTGAACCAGAGCATCGGGCGAGCGATTCGGCACCGGGGCGACTACGCAGCCATTGTCCTGGTGGATCGGAGGTTCGGAACGGAGAGGATTCGAGGAAAGCTGCCGGGGTGGATCCAGAATGGTATGCAAGCAGGCGGAGGGGATGAGAAGGGAATGGCGGGCTTGATGGGCGCCCTGGGTGGTTTCTTTAGGGGAAGACAGCAGACAGGGAAAAGCTGATATTCTCTGTCTGTGTATAACATGCTGACTCCTCCCAACACCGCCCCAGTAATGATACGATTTGGTCAGAGCCATGTCTCTTGCGCCTTATAGCCAACATTAGTGAGGGTTCTAAGTGGCCAGATGTGGTAATGCGCTGTTTTCGACCTGCTCTAATGGCAACAGGCCTGCATGAAGGCGCATGAGCATGCAGGGAACGGCTTGCTACACACACTATCACGGACCGGAGGTGACAGTAGCACCGGAACTCTTAGGAGGAATGAAGGTAGTTCGGCGTGTCCCCTCTGCAAGCCACCATCCTCTAAGCGATCAGCAGCGCAAACCACGAGGAATAGTTCCAGAAGAATGAGGGGAAATGGCTCCGGAATGCCTGAACAGAGACTCCGCCGCGATATCCGGCTTGCATACCGGTGCGGAGCGAATGGGACAAGCAGCCAATGGGGTTCCGCCCCTCCTCCGAGTCTGGAGCCTCGACTGCCCCATCCAGTCAAGTAGGGATTTCAAGGGAGAGAAAGAAAAAATCTGCGCAGAATTGATGGAGGCCGTACTCCGAGTGAGTGACTGTCATTGTACATAACAGAGCACAGTCATTGGTCCCCGCGACCGGGGACGGCCTTGGCCTGTAGATATGCTGCCGGGACAAGCCACCGAGTTAAGACATGACTCTTAAATGATCGGCCTGCCCATCGTCGTCGTCAACTGTTGTTGCTGCTTTATGGTTTATTAGTGGCTTGTAAGGGTTTTCCCCGATAAGCTTTCGTCCCTTTACCGAACCCGTTGCCTAGTGGTGATCAGCCTTAAACCAGATCGGATCTGATGTTCTGAGTCTCGAATCAGTCACTAGCTCATACATCGGTTTTGAGAAATTTTTGCATTGCGTTGGCCCTGATACTTCATCCCAGCCTTGTCTCCGCCCATCTTAGCTGAGTTGCCAGGGCTTTTTCTCTCGTGTAACACACTTCTTAATCAGCGCCCTCCAAAAAGGTTACTTCAAAATCTCTCAAGCCAGCATTGGCCATCAGACAAAAAATGGTAGCCGACTTGGAGCAACGCGCAGGCGGCGCGGCCCATTTACAAACCACCAACCAAGGCTCTTATGGCGATGAAGAATACAAATACATGGGCCCCAGCAGTTCTTCTTCGTCCAGAGTAGTGCAGGTTCTGGATCGGGTCCTGCGCATGGGTCGGGTTGAGGCGAAAGGTATCCAGCCCGTGCCGCTGGAAGCCCGCCTCTCAACCCGATACTGGAATATCTTCACCATCTGGACCTCCATCAATACAAATATCCTAGGGTAAGTGTGCTGACTAGGCTGATGAGCGAGGAGGGGTCCGTTATCAAAAGAAGCTTCTAACGGTTTCATAGCGTCTTGTTTGGTCTCCTGGGACCAATGGTCTATGGCCTCAGTCTACGAGATTCGTCACTCGTTATCCTCTTCTTCACTCTTCTTTCCACCGTTGCCCCAGCCTATCTGGCAACTCTGGGCCCCAAGACGGGAATGAGGCAGATGATTCAGGCCAGATACAGCTTCGGCCGGTACCTTGTCTCCGTGCCAGTTATTCTCAACCTCGCCACCTTGACTGGGTTCATCATCATCATTTGCGTTGTTGGTGGACAATGCCTGTCCGCCATCTCGGAGGGTAGCCTGACCCCGAACGCGGGCATCGTCATCATTGCCCTGCTGGGTCTTCTCATCTCGTTCTGTGGCTTCCGTGTCCTACACTACTATGAGACATATGCCTTTATCCCAGCTGTCATCGCCCTCGCCATTGCAGCTGGGTGCGGTGGGAAGGACCTGATGAAGCAGGCCGAGCCTGAGGAGCCAGCCACCGCGCCCGCTGTCATTAGCTACGGCATGATTGTTGCAAGTTACATGCTTCCTTGGGCTGCCATCGCCAGTGACTTGACCACGTACTTTGACCCCAACGTCTCTTCGTAAGTGTTCTCCCCCGTCTCCGGCCCTTCAATATCAACTTCGTCGATGGAAATGACTGACATGAAGTTTACCCGTTCTAGGTGGCGCGTCTTCGCCTATAGCTATACAGGTCTTGCTCTCCCCACCATTCTCCTCATGACTTTTGGCGCTGCCATCGCCGGCGCCCTTCCCAACGTCCCCGCCTGGGAAAAGGGCTACGAGGAGACCCTCGTCGGCGGAATCCTCGCCGCCATGCTTGCCTCCGCCGGCAACTTTGGCAAGTTCGTCGTCGCCCTCCTCTCCCTCACGCTCCTGGGCAACACGGCCGGCACCATGTACGCCATCACACTCAACTTCCAGGCCCTCTTTCCCTGGTTGATCAAGGTGCCCCGCTACATTTTCGCTCTGATCGTGACCGCCATCGTCATTCCGATTGCCGTCCGCGCTGTCTCCGACAACTTCTTCGTCAGCCTCGAGAACTTTATCGCCCTGATCGGGTACTGGTCCGCTTCCTTCTTCGGCATCGTCTCCATGGAGCACGTCGTCTTCCGCAGGAGGCATGGCCGATCCTGGGAGGAGGCGTACGATCACGCCATCTGGAGCGACTCGTCCAGGCTGCCGTGGGGTATCGCTGCCATCAGCAGCGGCGTGCTCTCGTTCGGACTAGTGGTCCCCTCCATGGCGCAGGTTTGGTGGACCGGACCAATCGCCCAGACGACTGGCGATCTCGGGTTCGAGTTTGCGTTCATCCTGAGTGCACTCTTTTACATCCCCCTGCGGGCGTTGGAGATTCGCCTCAGTGGAAGGTAATGGATTGTTGGTTCGGTATATCCGGCGTTGGAGCGGCTTACCAAATCTAATTAATGCTTCAACTTGCTGAAAATACAGTCGTGATACCTAAACTTAGAACATATATATCTTGTTACTTATGGTTATAGCAAAATGTTACCTCTCTCGCGGATTCGAAATCCACGAGATGACCTCAACTTCAAGAACGTCATCTTGTCCCTCTCGTGCAGCATGAAACCTGGTCCACCTCGTACTGCCCTCCTTTAAAAATAATATGTGCTCGTGTTTGGCTTCGTAGCTTATAAGAGCGTAGGGAGCATAGGATCCCCGTCGTCTACTCCGAATGACACTAATTGAAAATGCAGGCGACTCTCAAGTCTCTGAAACCAATGAAAATATACTGCACGTCGCAAACAACCAGAGTGGAAAGCAATAAAGGGCTGGATAAGGATGCTACTACTGTAAATGGGGACGAAATACGTCAATCTTGAATTTACACCGCCAAAGAGTTGAACATGTTCGGGCTCGTCCTCGTTAGTCCTGATTTAGGGTAGGCCTTGGGAAGACGGCCTGCGCCATTGTCGTAGCGCGTGGGATTGGCAATCTGAGAAGATCCCACCTTCTGATTAATGAGGTACTCTTGGTTAATGGCAAGAGAATTGAATTCTCTTACTAGGTAGGCAAGTGGGTGACGTTGAAATTGAGACACTCTAACATACCTGCTTATTTTCGAGTCTGCGACCGGTATTTTCAGACTATTAAGTGTTAACAATGCATACCTCAGAGATAATATAGCAGATGTTGTTACTTGATTTCATTTTATACTACTGAATTTCTCTATTTATTGTAGAAAGTAGGTGGTCTGCTCATAACCAACTCTTCCATTAGGTGTCTCATTTCTCCTGTCGCCCACTTGCTAGGATTCGAAACTGAACCAAGCCCCTCTTCTGGGCACTTGTCAGTGTGTGCCATTCATTGCACTAGGTCTCACGGATCTGCAGATTGATCAATGAGATGGAGGGTGCGATCGGATGTGGAAGCTTCCAATCTCAAGGCTAGCAAAGGTTCCAGCCGTCATCTTTGGCTCTGGCTGTGCAATGGGGCTGGCACCGAGAGACCGAATTGAGGAGTGAGAATGCAGTTGGCAGCCGAAAGAGCGAAAGACCGAAAGGAGCTGAGACAGATCCAGGCCAATGCTCATCCATGCCGGTGACTCATACATTAGCGCGGCCGCCAATGCCACCATGGGTGTAATTACAGCCACTAAGTCCACTGCGTGCGAGCCCTGAGCCCATGGCGGGGTGCCCCGTCAGCCCCCCCAATCAGCCCAGGACACCCACCCACCCACTCCGTGCCGCTGCGTCCCACCATGCACTCTGATGTACTGCGCACCGACGGTAACATTGTGCTGCGAGTAAGGTAAGAGTAGTCCAGCAGAATAGACTTGGTACTCTGCTGCGGCAGGTGCGACCAACTCGGCCGGCCGAGGCCACCAGGCACCCATCTATAAATCTTCCCGTCTCGCCACCTCGACCTTTCCCTTCTCTTCTTTTCTCCATATCCCATCCATTCGCCGGATGAGTAGGTCTTCTTCTCATCCGCCACCCCACCTTAGTCGTGCTTCTTCAACCTTCTGAATTTATAAATCAAAACCATAGCCTGTCCAATTTACCGGACAGGCCCTCTACTCTGCACTCATGGAGTCCTCCACTTCCACATCAGCCCCAGTTGCTACACTCGGAAAGACTGAGTTCTACCGACCACAGCAATCTGTCTCAACTTGGTAGTTGCGGCGGAGATTTATTATTGCAGCAATCCCCCCAGCAAACATATCAGAGCCATTCACCCCTCCAACAAGAACAACCATTCCACTTCCCTCAACTCCAGCCGCAAGACTTCCTTGACGACTCACTTATCAGTGACTACCTGACGGACTCTGACCCCAACATCTGGAACCCCGACTGCCCAGAGCCCCCTCAGGATTTCGACTGGACATCTCTCGGTCTTGACGCCCTAGGCACTCAGCTTCTTCCCCCAAACCAGTCTCAATTGTTTGGAGACAGCTCCTTAGACCTTTCTTCAACTGTGACTACGACCATGGGGTCCAACGGACCAAGCCACCACCTCTTTACTGATGCATCTCTTCATCCCCACTCCACTGGTCACCTTACACCTCCTCACACCACCAACACAGCTCCGGCCTACACCATGAACTTGCCTACCTCCAACGCCAACTCTTACAGGCCTGAATCATCACCATCTCATTCCTCAGCACACTCGGATGATGCCGTGGCCTCC